TATAGTAATCGCAAAAATATCGAATTTATATTTATATATAATTAATTTCCCGTAGAATAAGATATAGTTATCGCAAAAAATCGAATATATTTTTTGTTACATATCTTTACGTTTCAAAGGTTTCTGAATATTTTGGCATACCTTAGAAAAAATTGATGTGTGTGTGCGGTAAAAATTTTCGTCGACTATTTCGGGAACACGGGCCAACATGTTTGAATAATTTAAAAAACATCGATTTGTATTTTTTGCAGCTAACGTATTGCGAAAGCTTTGAATCACAGTTCAAAATGTCCAAAATATTTCAAATTATAAAAAAACAAACCTTTCAAAAAAGTCAATTGTCTTCAAAAATTTTAAAAATCTCAAAAATCGATTTTTTTCTGAATTCTAGAAGAAAATTGAATCTTTTAAAAAAATTTTTTTTTGGTACAGGAAGTTCCAGCAATTTGAACAGCGATTACAACTTAAGAGTTCTATAAGCTGTTGTAATGATTTGATCTGATTATCTTAAGTAACTCCTTGGCTAACTAAAGGGTTGAGAATTTCACTTAATAGATTAGCATTTCTTGAGAGATTATCGGTGCATAATGATGACATGACTTTTATAGTTTATTTTTTTAAATATAGGGCAACTTTAAATGACCTAATCAATTTAGCGATGATCAATTTCAACAACTTGATTTTTAATTCAGCAAACAAACAGAAAACAATTTGGTTTTTAATTAACTCGGAAATTAATACGAAAGCTAAATCCTTCAAAGATTGATTGTCTTACAATTAACGGCGACAAGATTATTGATAAAGTTGTCATATCTAATAAATTTAATCACTTTTTTGTCACCGAAATTAACAAGTGCAATCAACTTGAGCACCATTAGTTCGACCAAATCTCTATCCGCGCGAAATAATTCTACAATCGTAGAATTTTTCCTGTAAATTTAGAAGAACTAAAGCAAACCTTTCTATCGATAAAAGTTACTAGTTCAGCGGGTCCGGATCAGAACCTCGTCTTATTCTTAAAAAATTCTATCCCTTCTTCGTAGATAAATTTATGCTATGTTTAAATAAATGCTTCGACGAAGGAATATTTCCATCCCACCTCAAGCATTCAAAAATTATTTTCACTTCATAAGAAAAACTAGTGGGGTGTATGTCATTGTGCCTTAAGGCAAATTGCTAGAACTTTCTGTGCCGTAACGAAATATTCGAGGAATACTGAATATTTTTAAATAGATTATTAAAAATATTGTAACATTGTCTAATATTTATAAGAATTATATAAACTGAAATGCAAAGTTGAAATTATTTGTTTAAAGTATATTAGAACTTCAGTCAGAATTAAAATTAAAATCTGATTTATTTTCGATATAAAAAAAATTATTTTGAAACAATTTTTTTCCAAAATCAATTATTTTGTTAAAACAAGCAGAAAGTTCTTTGAATCATTTAAATCGGACCCTTAGTTCTCTCAAAAACTGCCATTTTTCAACATTTAGCTCTGTATCTCCGAAATGGCTGGGCCTACCTTTGCCAAAATATAATAACCACTTTACTAATTGAATGTTTTTATATCGTTCAAATCGGATACTCCGTTCTCTCAAAAACTCGATTTCTATTTTCTGCACTCTTTGCTCTTTATCTCCGTAAAGCTACTATGATTATTATAAAATTACTATCCTTTTAATATTAATTATGAATAAGCTTGACAAGAGCCTGAAATAATATCTATTATTATTGATTACGGCTTGCTTATGAATAAATCAAATAAATAAATAAAATAAAATAAAAAAGTAACTACGTCAGTTTTTATAGATGGCAACTTAAACAGTTGCCCTCATTCTATGTGATCATTATTCTACTATTACAATTTCTGTGATAGTGATGCATTTTTTGAAGATGCAGCAATACTGGGTAATGAGTATTGCGACACTTGGAAACACATTGCTATCTATATTTCCAAGTAAAAATCTGTCACTACTGCTTGACATCAGACTATTAGCGGCGGGTATCAAACCTGAGGCCTTTAATTGAAATCTTATAGCTCTAACCACTAATCTAAATATAAATAAAAATAATACAATTCGATCATATTTGAATATCAAATATGTGGTGTCTCAGACTTTAACTTTAAGTCGAAACGGGGTGATGGATTGACCATAATTGTCCTGAAAAAAAAATATAAAAAAAATAGGAGCTTTTGAGTCCATCCTAGAGCTTTGGTGAAATTATGATCATATTTTGGTTATTGTGGTTATTTTTGATAAATTTTGTTTATTTAAACTTTGAAACCGCAATCGTGAATAACATTTCTAGAACAACAATCAAAAACATTAACTCAATTGGGACATTTTGTTGGACTATGAATTTAAAATGTTTACAATCGGTTGAGTTTGAAAGTCCTTCTTTTAAAAAAATTATACTGTTATGTGTTGGCAAGTTTCATCAAAAGTTGGCGCATTTTTTAGTATTGTAAAATGGTGAAATACTTGAAAATTTTATTATTGAAAAATTTCGAGCAAAAAATAAAGACCTAAAAATGTCATGATATTGCCAGTACATTTTACTCACAATTTATCCCGTTTCGGCTTGACGTCATCCATATGTAGGTATATACATTTTTTTCCATTTGAATCACAGCATATATTATTTTGAATAGTTCAGTAATTGATTTGTTAAATTTAACAGATGACGATTAGCAGGCAATCGACTATTCTCCTTTCTATTTATGATATCTGATATATATATATATATATATATATATATATATATATATATATATATATTTCAACAATACTTAATTTGTATTTTGACTCAATTATCACTGCAGCAATGCCCTGAAAGGCTATTTTGACTTGGCATCATAATACTTGGGAGATCTATAATTCCAAGTTTTTTTTATATTTTTAATAGCAATCAGAACCTTATGTCCTATGAGCTGTTGGGCTGAAACTTCTCCTTACATCGTATTTTTTAGATGGTAACCCAATATAGTTAATCCATCCATATTTGATGATTTTGTTATTAGAATTAATCTAATAGGGCTGACTTTTTATTGGTGCAGCAATGCCGGGCAAGGGCTATTTTCACTTGGAATCATATTGCTATCTATATTTCTGACAACAGGCTGCTCGAAGTGGGTATCGAACCCGGGACCTCTGAATCAGGTCCCGTCGCTCTTAACCGCTTACCTACGGGGTGGGCCCCTATAATTTCAAGAGAGAATGTGAAATATAAGTTCTAGCTTATCATATTTTGAATATGATGCTAATAGGAAAGATTTTTTTCGGTAAAAATGCTAATTATTGACGTTGACTATATGCTAGTACATAATTAAATTTAAAGAATCAACCAGAATAAAAAATTCTACTGTTAGTGGAGCTATTATACTACTGTGTACAAATATGAGTGAGACTTTATGTAAAACTTTTGAAATCTGTATCTATTCTTCTATATCAAATTTATTTTCCCCACTCCCTCTTGGGTGCAATGCAATTATGCCAACGCTTTTTCCAATTTTCAAAACATTTATTTACTCGTCTTCCGGAATGGCCTTTAGTTCCTTTTTCGGTCTTCAATTGAGTCAAAACCATGGCCACGTAACGATTTTAAAGAAGTCCTATAATGCAAAATCAAACTTGGTGTTTTTGATACGATGTTGGTTGATATTTTGGCGAAGTCGTCACGAAGAATGAGTGCAGTGTGCGATGGTGCTTTATCGTAATGCGAAAACGACTTTCAAAATAGTGTTGACTTTTGACCCATTCGAAATTTCAACAATATCAGCAACCTCTCTAGTAGTCTTTCTTCTTGATCATTTTTTATGTGGTTTGTTTTCAACTTCAACACGCTTTCGGCCTTCTTTTAACAACTTGTGCCTTGCAATTCGCTATTGTTGTGCCATCAGCGTGAAATTTATTATAGATTAACACTGAGGAAGTTTAATAAGCAAAGTATGTAAATCAAACACCAACAACTATATATCAAGAAACGTTGAATTTATTTAATAATATCAGAAACTAAGACGAAGATTATGTATTTTATTGAAAGTTGTTCTCTCGAGGGCGTCCGCAGTAGAAGAGGGAGATTCTTATCGTCCTCGATCGGATTTCGCTTGGAAGGGCATCGGAAATCTTCGGAAGGCTCCGGAAGTCTTCGGAAGTTGCGAATAGATAGATAGTTCAAAAATTGGCGCAACACTATTGACATTGACTTTTCACGAAAAGCCTTTTGCACTACATTCTAAACATTTTGGCTGCTGATATTTTATTTTGCGCACAAATAATTCATTAATTTATGGGCCGATTCTGCCTGGCAAGGCTGCGTAGCGTTTTTCATACAAAGTGGTACTAAAAACTGTTGAAATGCTACGTGGCTGCTGTGCAGTCAGGTGTTTTAGATAGAAAACTTTATCTACGCATAAACGTAAAAAAAGAATCTTATCATAAGCGCATCTTTATGATATGGCATAATAACATATGAGTGAATTTACATTTTAGGTGTAAAACGTTAATCTGATTTTTTTTCCAAGCATATCAACTAAAAGTTAATAATAAAATCAATAGGTGGTACTGGTCTACGGGCAGGTCCATGAACTGACATAAGCTCCAACTCGATTCAGAGAAGAATAGTGTGAGAGATTTTCCATTTCACAACGCAGTGCCCGAAACTGGTTATTTTCAATTGAAAACATATTTTTGATCTATATTTTCAATTGATAAATGGATATTGCTGCTGCCCGATTCAGGTTGCCAGAGCGAGGGTTTGAACTCGCGACCCCGTCCATACGAGATAGCGCACGTTTGCCCGTTACGACATGGAGCACCCTTAACTACCCATATATATTCAATATTTAATAACTAAAAGTTATTAAAACATTTTGCACATTAGCTATAAAATTTCATGAAACGTGGTAAAGGTGTTGTACTCATTAAAGAAAAAATTACTTTCAACATTTTTTTTTATTATAACCAATAAATATTATAATGCTTAAAAATAAAACTATTCAAATTAGATACATATTTTAACAATAAAATGGAAGCGATTTGACGTGAAAGACTTCTTATGTTACAATCTGAAAAAGAAAGAACTTCAATCATTAAATGGTGCTTGGTAAATTTTGGTATTTTCGACTATTTAGAGCCAAAAAAAACAATTAGGTAATTTTTAATAATTCAACTAAATTAAAAAATATATAAATGCTTTATACGGAACTCCGGCTAAAAACAAATTAGATGTAACTTTATAATGACTATTTTATGTGACACGCCTACATTATATTGACTTAGACTTAACAATGAATACTTCTGATAAAATAACAAAATTAATTATAATTAAATCTTAATTACAACAGCGTATTGCCGGCGATGTTATTATATTGAATAAAAAAACTAGTTGCTTGAAGCCATAGAAATGAAAGCACTATTTCCTCCAATACAATTTTTAATCTTTCAAATCATTTTCGTGGATTTTTTTGTAAATTTAATCTTATATTCAAATATTAACATACTTATAATCTGAATATCAATCTCAAATAAGAATGAATGTACATCGATACTTACTATATTTATTAACCATATGATGGCACAGCTGGAGGGGGTCCCAGCAATCCGGCGCCGGCTCCGGTTCCGGATGGGCGATGGTTTGCAAAGCCGGCGTCTTGGTGATGCGATCCACCGCCGACTCCTGGCTGGTTAGGGTAAAAAGATCCACCAAATCCGGGTTGAGAATTGGGGTAGCGTGATCCTCCGAATCCGACGTCTTGGTGGTGTGATCCACCACCTACTCCAGCCTGATTGTAACTGAAAAAAACGTTTTTTTGGATTAAGGATAAATTTAGACATGAATTAGCATCTTCTTATAAGTTTATTAAGTATAAAGTACTTTGCTTATAATAATTCGTTTCTGATTGGGGTTTAGATTTTTAAGAATGTTTAAATACATGTTTGAATAAATATAAATTTGTATAAATAGTAATGTAAATAATTTTTATCAAAATGCTAAACTAGTTAGTTGCAAAACTCTGCGTAAACTGGATTAACACAATTTTTATTCCATAATAATTATTTTATTATTTTAATAATGGCCTAATAATTCTAATGGTTAAATGCTTGACTCGAATATAATCGGTACTGAAACTAGGTACTATGTACAAAGAAGTCGATAAACTTGAAATATTTTTCTGATAATACTAAAGAACAATATATTAAATATGTTAATAGAAATATATTTAAATTATTATGCTGGAAAATCAACGTATAAAATTGTTAGAAAGAAGAAATAATTAGAAGACGGAAAGAAAAATATATGAAAAATCATTGAGAAGAAGAATTAGTATAGCAAATGACAATAAAAAATTAACAAATATTATTATGTGACATGAATGGGCTCGCTCGTATATGAACGGCTAGAGGGTCTGGACCTGAATCAGAAATTCCAAGTTCGATTCCACTTCGAGCAGCTCGTTTTCAAGCAGTAGTGACAACGATTTTCACTTGGAAATATAAATAGTAATATGGTTTCAAGTGAAAATAGCCCTCACCCGGCGGTGCTGCACCAATAAAAATATTCGCTTTATTACAGAAATTGTAATAATAATTTATCATATAGAGATGGTACAACTGTTTGGGTTTCCCATTCTTTCGAATGGACTAGTAAAGTCAAAATACAGCTTATAGGACTATTATGTTCTGAGTGCGTTCAAAAATTTAAAAAATGGTGAAAAGAATTACCTTCCTCCAAAACCAGAACCGCCAAATCCTTGGTCGAGATGATGAGAACCTCCTCCTACGCCAGCATTTGGGTTGACGCCTCCTCCAAAACCAGTATCCAACGCGTGACTACCACCGCCGACACCAGCATTATGATTATAATATGCTGAAAGTAAAATATTCTTATATTAGATAAAACTTACATGTACAAAGACTAGTATTATCCCTAATTTTTTTATACATGTCTAACCATTTTTATAAAATTTTTGCAACCTATTACTTAAAATTTGTACGAAATAATTGTGTTTATGCAAAAAATTTAAAAAATGCATATAAAAAGGCAGTACATATTTGTTTTCAAACATATTTTTCTTTGGCGCTGTCTTAGAACAACGCGCGCGCCCACAAAGACCCGGCTCCTAAGGCATACTGATGATGGTACTAAATAAGAAGTTTTTATTATTGAATTAGGTTTTAATAACTTGAGTGATTGTTCAGTACGTAATTCCTAGAAATTCCAATTTTGCATAGGTAAATTAAAACTTAAATGCCATGAATTCACATGTGGAACTCGAAGATTATATGTTCTAATATGATAATTAGTGACTTTGGTATAGATAATATCTAATTATTGTTACATCACGATAATTTTTTAATGCCAATATAAGATGCTATTATTTTTTTATTTGCTCATAAATAATGTGGTTTATACCAAACGTGATTTATGTTTGCAGTCGCTTGCAACAAGAATGATTTAGCCGATCTTTTGGATTAACTGTCACATAAAAAGAATGGATTTAAATAGTAATTAATCTAATGATCTTTTTTATGTTTGACATTGAAAGTTGGAATATTTCAAAATCGACATTCGTGAAAATTTTTATGGAAGAAAATGTTTTGGATAAGCTTGTTCGTTAGGATAAAATGAAATTTACTATATATATATATATATATATATATATATATATATATATGTATATATAATATAATATATATATTTATATATATATATATGTATATATATAATATAATATATATATTTATATATATATATATGTATATATATAATATAATATATATATTTATATATATAATAATATAATATATATATATATATATATATATTATGATGGTTTTTAATATGAATATTTTCGAATCTCTTTGCTTCCATGAGCTCAAAAGCTTCCAAATTGATAAAAAAAAATCTCGAAAAGTTTTAGCTCTTAATATTAACTTGAAGATAGTCCGCACTCCAACTAAATTTTCTTATGAAAATAAGATGGGTAAACTTCTATGTATTCTAAAAATTTTATAACTGAGCGACAAGTGAATTAAAATTTTGAGAATAACATTGTATTTGCTTATTTTCATCATGGATAAAAAGCTTACAATATAAGTTTGATATATTTTATAAGTAATTTTGGTTGGAGTGCAGGCTATCTTAAAGTTAATATTAAGAGCTAACACTTTCAGAGAAATTTTTTAATCAATTTTGGAAGCATATGAGCCCCTGGTAGCAGAGAAATTGAAAATATCATATATATATATATATATATATATATATATATATACTAAACTTAACTACTAAATCATATATATATATATATAATTATTAAGATTAAGGAAGAAAAATAAATTTGACTGATATTTTTGCACCGCATAATTTAAAGAAGATTGAATGTTGCAGAAGAGTTTAACGCTCACAAATACTCTACTTACGATAAGCCAATGTAATGTGCAACGTGACACAAATCACAACTACAAACTTCAACATGATTCTGTTTATTTTTTCTGAAATATTTTGCCAAATTTATCACTGATATGGCACTTGGTTTTCGACGCGTACTGTGTTAAATCAATCACAACATTGCTTTTTATACGAACTCCGTAATGATATGTGTACATTGATACACAATGTTGACTCCCAATACCCCTACTTGATTTTTGACATCATTCTCATTATTTTCATAGGTTTTTTTGATTTGCAGTAAATATACGAGTTCTTAGTATTGTACGTGATACGTAATATTATATGTAAATATTTATATTAGTTAATAAATTTGCTAAGTAATTATCTTCTATCAGAATTGTATGATAATTATCATTAGTATTGCGCTAATTTTTGTATACTTCTTGATATGCATATGAGAAAAAAACAAGATTACACCTAATTATAATTAATTTAACTAATACGTTTAACGGTTTTAATAAATAATTTTCAATATTTTTTTTTGATGATGTATATAAAAATATGTGTCTTTGTTTTATAACCACAGGTTTCCGAGTAGAAATTTAGAATTCCATGTAACGTGATTTCAAGCAGTAGTGATGCCTATTTTTACTTGTACATATAGATTATAAATATGTTTCTATGTCTAAAAGTCCTTGACACTGGCCCCAGTTAAAATATCATCAGACTTAGAAAAGGGTCACCTTTTAAGAGCCTTCACAACCTTGAATGCCAATTCAATTCCTTGGATGCCTAATTCTTATACTTACATATTAGTCTTTAGTATATTAGGGTGGTCTTTAATATGAATATTTCTGAATGTCTTCGCTCCCAGGGGCTCAAATGCTTCCAAATTGATAAAAAAAATCTCTGAAAATTTTAGCTCTTAATATTAACATTAAGATAGTCCGCACTCCAATCAAAGTTTCTTGGTTCTTCTTCATAAGTAAATACTTATTTTATAAGATATATCAAATTTTCGTTGTAACTTTTTTAATTTATGATCTAAATAAGCAAATACAATGTTATTGTCAAAATTTTGATTCACTTGTCGCGAAGTTATATAATTCTAAAAAGCAGATAAAATTTTATTTGTGCTATTTTCATAAGAAATTTGGTTGGGGTTGGAGTGCGAACTATCTTGATGTTAATATTAGGAGCTAAAACTTCCAGAGATACTTTTATCATTTTGGAAGCATATGAGCAAAAAATAAAAAATATCTATTACAAGGACCACTATGTTGATTTATATATATATATATATATATATATATATATATATATATATATTATTTTGAATAACACAGTATTATGGTATGTGTTGTAAGATTATTATTAACTAATATAAACATTTTTAATTGATATGAATATAGAATTGTTAAATTATATACCGTGGATAGTTTTTGTGTTACTGTGTTATTCAAAATAATATATATATATATATATATATATATATATATTATTTTGAATAACACAGTATTATGGTATGTGTTGTAAGATTATTATTAACTAATATAAACATTTTTAATTGATATGAATATAGAATTGTTAAACTATATACCGTGGATAGAGTTAATTAAAAAATTCTTTATTCAATCGCAATTATTCGATAACCTCTTTGAGACAATAACATACATATTTATCTGTGATGGTTCCATTAATATCGCTCTGTGCTGGTATCAAATATAAAAATATGGCATAATATATTACTGATATTACGTAAATGATGTAATACACAATCTGCAGATTAAGTATTTTGAGCCGTGATTACTTTTTTCAACTTAAAATTGATCAGGTACTGATCAACCTTATATTCTAATTACTGAAAGGTACTGAACATCCGTATATTCTAATTAAATGCGATACTAAGAAAAAATAATTTTGTTCGTAATATATACAGTCAACCCTCGGTTAACGGAGGATTGACTATATATATATACGTATATCTATATATTAGGGTGGTCCTTAATAAGGACATTTTCAAATTTCCTTACTCCCGAAGGCTCAAATAGTTCCAAATTTATAAAAAACAATTCTCTGAAAGTTTTAGCTCTCAATATTAAGTTTTAGATAGTGCGCAATTCAATCAAACTTCGTATAGAAATGGCATGAAAAAAATTTGAAAATTAAAAAAAAAATTATATATATATATATATGGTAAATATGTAAGATAGTATACTTTGCTTAAACATTTTTATATAGAATTTTTAGCCAAAATTTCTAAATTATTGCCACATATTTGTGACATTAATTTTGACAGTAGAGTATATGAGCAAGGTATTAACCCTTTTCACTCCGATGCCGCCGCTCCGGCGACAAAATACATATAATTTTTGCAATTTGCGAGTGAAAAGGGTTATAATCATTAAATAGATATAAAACTTATACGTATGTTGTTGAAGATATTATTTTATTACTATTAGTGTGCTATTTTTCTTGTTTATTTCTATTTGAATTGCTATTTGTTTATTATTATATGAAGATATTTAATAATTATTTTGTTAACTTAGCGATGGAGATCGAAACTCAACCCAGTAATTAATTGTTGTGATATATCATTATTTGTGATATACTTTTAACTTAATACTTGTCGTAAAAAGATATTTTCAATTGATATCATATTTGAAATTAATAATTTAAAGTAAATCTGATATCACTACTGCTTGATATCAAGCTAGCCGATCAAACCGGAACAGTCATTGTTCTTTAGGGTACTAACTAACTCTATAGGGTACTATCCTAAATAACTGTAGCTTTTGTTACTTATTTGAGACGGTATCTATCAAGAAATTTTCTCTATATTTCGCACCTTTGCTTGCGATCAACATATTTCGCAAATATTGTTCGATTTGCTTGGAGATAAATTGTTTAAATACTATACGCTAATAAAATTTATGTATATACCCGTGTATGGATAAACCTTATGGCTTTCTAATAGATATTTGAGTTATCTTCCGCTTTCATTTGTATGCTCCAAACATTATATTCAATCATAGAATTGTTTATTTATTTTTAAACATCTATGATCCAATACATTAATTAATCAAATTTATTTATTATTACATATCGTTTTATCTTCTTATAGGCTTATAGTAATCGCAAAAAATCGAAAATGAAAGTTTTTATATATCTTTACGTTTCTGAACCATTTTGACATGCCTTACAATTAGAAAAATGGAGGTGCGTGTGTGTGTGTATTCGGATGCAAATTTTCTTCGACGATTTTGGGAACGCGATTTAACCGATTTGAATGTTTCAAAAAACATTCGATTACTATTGATAAGGAGACGTCCTGATTTTTTGTACATGGTAGGTCTAGCTGTTTCGAAGATACGGGCCAAAAAGTGCCAAATATGGTAATTCAGTTTTTAAGAGAACGTAGAGTCCGATTTCAATAATTTAAAAAACATTTTACTTCAATTGACAAAATTAAAAACCTGTTAAATTTTTGGGAAGGCAGGTTCAACGGTTTTGGGAACCGTGTGTAAAAATTCATTTGGCGGCCAAAAATGATTATTAGACATATGCACATCATTACCAGATATTTTATAAAGATTTTAATAAGTATACATTTGAGTAAAGTTTAGCTTTTAGACAGCGATGCGGCGCTTACGCGCTTTGACATTTTGTCTTTGCGCAGCGCGATTGCTTTGAAAAAAAGTTCAAAATTTCCGAAACATTTCAAAATATAAAAAATTTTTTTTAGAATTTTCAAAGTTCTCAAAAATTAAATTTTATCAATTAAAAAAAAAATGAATCTTTTTTGAAAAGAATAATTTTTGGTACGGGAGTTCCGGCAATATGCATTAAGGCACGATGCCATATACAACTAGTTATTATATATACATAAATGTGTTTGTATGTATTATGCACGCTGTTTCTAAATTATACGTTGAATACTCCAATATACTTTCATATATTTGCATTTTACATTTTTCACTTTTAAGAATAGGTACTGTTCTTTTCTTTCTGATGCTATAGTTTTTTTCAGCAATTGATTTCTGATTCGCATTACGTCTTGTGAGAATTATGCTTTCTTTTTCTAAATAGCAACTATTATACCTAGCTGTTGAGCAATGGCAAAAATTATATAATATTATAATAATATTAATAATAATATTATAATTATTATATTCAAATATTACCTAAATATCATATTTAAGTAACACGTTTAATTTCTCTTCTCGTACTTAAAGAATATAAGATGCATACAATTCAAAAATAAGTACAACAGAATTGTTTTTGTAAAAATAATTTATTTTGAAAATATCGTATCTCATTGAATGTTAGTTGACATTTATGGTAAAAAAATCTTCATAATGACTTCTGGTAATCTGATTCTCGTTTATTATTTTCGTTGAACGGCTTAACGTCTGAAAATAGAAAAAGAAAATTTATATGGCCATAAGTAATGTTAGTTTAATAGAGTCAAATGTAAATTGTGTCTAAAAAACAAAGAATAAGTCAATTGTGATGCACATAAATGTCAAAAGAAATTTATATAATAAAGTATAATTTTGAAATTTGTGTTAAACATTCAATAAAATCAACACAATTAACTTTGATTGCTTGTTTGTAACTACTTATGAAAATCTCTACTTCTATAATCTAAACCAAATATAAAGCAAACATTTAATTGTAAGATAAAAAAAAATCAATTTTATAAAATATTCAAAATTGAGGAAGAGTTTAACGTGTAGGTACTACTTAATGTAAAATCATATGTTGAAAAAGCTTTGCAATATAGATATTACCCATAGTAGCCTGCTCCATGGGTATTGTATCCAGAGTGAGAACCACCGAATCCAGCACCTCCGAATCCAGTATCCAAATGATGAGATCCACCACCTACACCGGCGTGTTGATTGAGTCCATGAGTTTGGTGTCCAAATCCTGCACTTTGGTGTCCAAATCCAGAGTCATGATGGTGGGAACCTGAAGCTACTCCTGCGTGTTGATTGAAACTGGAGTGTTGTTCTTGATAAGAGGAGTGACCACTGCTATGCAAGCCGCTGCTATGTAAACCACTGCTTTCGTGCAAACTGCTTCCGTGTAAGCCGGAGCCTGTAAATTGATATATTTTTATTAGGTGACATATGCCGTTTAAACGCAAGGTGATATGCATTTTAAATATTTTTTAATTAAGAAGTATTTGTTGAGAAACCAGCGGCCTTGTGGTAACAACGTGGAATATCAATTACTAGTTCAGGGTGTGATCCAAACCTCGGGCAGCATGATATCTAGCAGCAGGGCTGGTCTTACCCTAAATGCAATGCATGCGAAAAATGCGGGTGCAACGTCGAGAGGGCGTTATCACACGTAGTTTTTCATATAATTTCAATGACGAACTGTGAAAATAGTTTAAAAAAAATAGAGGATAGGGGGCGCCCTTGAACAGATGGTATGCGGGCGCTGAGCACCCTTGGAGCGCTCCTGCCTAGCAGAATATCAAATTTATACTTGATTATTATTATCAAATATGACATTAAGTGATAATATCATCGAGAGCATTGCTGCATAGTAATAAAAATTCTACAAACGCTATTCAAGTATAGTTAAAAAAATGTGCCACAGCTAGAAAAGGAGAACTAGTGGGTTGCTACCACAGTAGCTATACATCAAAGAAACCAAAACAATTACTTACAAGTGAAGTGTAAGTTGTAAGTGTCTTCATAGTAGAAATTTAGTCGCAATTCAAATATATAAAAAAATATTTGTTGTTATAACTGCGCTCTTAAATTTAGTTTTTTGGAAGCATGAGGTGTTTTATTTTAATATAGGAGTTATCCTACTTATAAATCATTCTCAGAACATTAATTCGATTTAAATTATTAATACAAATTTCTTTAGACCATATTTTCATGGTTAAAACCGGGACAGTCAATTTTAGTTATGCCAATCCGGGACGGAAGGGAGGCTTATGTTCTTTAAACTAAATAACTTAGAATGTATCCAATATAAATCAGAATTTTTTTGTTTGTTTAAAACTTTTTTTAAATCAATATTATTAACTGAAAGTAATAATTTTATTATTCAACTATTTTATCTTGGCTATATTAAGCCGGAATAAGCATTGGAATTTTGAATTTGACAAAGTATTGTTTGATATATCAAGTAATTGCAAACATTCAATTTTAACCTATACTTTTCGAAATTCCGGGAAAATCCGGGACAAATGTTCTAAATCCGGCTCTTAGAACAATCCGGGACACTTGATTGAAATCCTTCACCTTAATTATGAGCTAGGTCTGATTTTATCATCTTTATTTTATTTACGAGCAATATTAGGCGAACAGATGCTAATTGTATAAAATATTATTTATATCAATATATTATTTGAATTTAAACGGTTAGACCATTATTATTTCTCTTATAATGATTCATAATTTTTCTAATGTTGATAATTAATTTGAAGCAGCGATGTTGGGGAAAGTCTAGGATCACTTTTGAACATATTTCAGATCTACATTTTCAAATGAAAACCGATGTTACTACTGCTTGATATCAGGCTATCCAAAGTGGGTATCGAATCTGGAACGCTGGGTCTCAAAGCCAAAGTTTTCACAACTAAGGCATATGAGGAAGTCGAATAGCATTACATTTCCAGACTTTTATTAGTGTTCTTCATGAGATCTGAGTCGAATGCCATATCATATCCCTACAAATATGGTTTTTATATCTTTTGGCGTAACAAAAACTTAATCTAAACTGATATTAGATTATGAAAATATTATATGCAACAAAAGTTAGAACAATAATATTGAACCTAACATGTAATAAGTTTCAACAAAGCATTCGATCTATTATGAATCACTACGTAATTCTGCGCTAAGATTTTGTCTTAAGAGTAACTTTTTTATTTTTAAGTATTTAAAATTATTACTGTGTAATAATCCTTGTCCGTGGGTGCCTCCTGAAATATGTGAACCAGAACTGTGAATGCCCAAACCGCTTGAACCATGGCTAAAGCCATGACCGGATGAACCATGACCGCCAGCTCCGTAGCCGGCTGAAAACAAATTATTCATTTTATTAATTCGTTAATGATAATAATAATAATAATTAATAAATATTTAAAAATATAATGCTTAAGATATAATATTTTTTCAAATATTTGAAATATAACACACTTACTAATATTTGAGAATATAAAGCTTTTTCAATTATTTTATTTAGCATATAAAATGTATTATATTCAAGAAGGCATGCATTTATATTTCTCTGTTGCACCAGTTGTGTTCCAACAAATCTTTAATGTCAATTAAACATTCGAAAAATAAAATATTTTACTATTACAAAATTACATGATTAATTTTCTTTGTTTGTTTTTAGTAAGAAAAATGTAAATATGTTATGCTAAACAACATTACGCAAATGAAATTGAATATAGTAGAGACATTTGTGTATTTTGGTAATTTGCACACAAATGAGTAACAGTTGAATTTAAAATGTTCGTTTTATTTGAACGTTTAAATCCTAAGACCTTGAACGACATACTATAGTCATGTATATTTAAACAATTTCATTAGTTCGATAAGTTTTAATCAAATTTAAATAGTTCGATTGAATAACATTTACTTGTATTCAATGCAAGTTCTGTTTTCTTCGTTAATATTCGTTTCAATTAGCTATTAGAATAATTTTAAAAATTATGATGTGTTAATTGTTTTGCGAATTTTAATAATAGAAACTTAAGTTGATACCTATATGAAATTATTATAAACTCTTTTCATTTTTTTTGTTAATATCAATCAATAACACTAGACTTCACTCAATAGAGTGAAGTCTAAATTATTATTATTATAATTTTTCTTTCTTATTATTATTATTACTTATTATTATTATTATTATTATTATTTTCTTCATTTATTCATTATATCTTGATTGCTATTCTTAATGAAAAAATAAAAAATATCAAATAATAATATTCATATTATACAATATTATTTTCTGAACTGAAAGCGACCCTTTCCTCAAAAAAATATTTATTTGATTCATACTTCTTACGATATTTGGATATGGGATGACCACATATTCTGGAATTAAAATCAAATATCTTATTTCAGCAAAATAAAATTATAACTAATAGCTATTTAGTAAAACTTTATATGTATATGTCTATATTATATATAAGCTATTATTATATTTATGATTTTATTTTTCTGAAGTAGAGGCCTCTTTTTTCTTATAATTTTTTAATTTTTGTTTAATAGCGTATTACTAGATAGCTATTATTATTTATGATTTTGATTTTCCGATCTTATAGCCTCATTTTTCCTCATAGTCATAGAAGTAAACACAGCTCGAAGTATTTTGAATCCTAATATTCGGTTAATGTACCTACATTTAGATTAATTTAATTTGTTGTCAGTGCTTAATAAAAAAAATTTTGGTTTTAAAGTTCTTGAAAAAGGAGATAAATGTAATAATTAAATTAATAACTTTTTAATATAAAAAAGAGATTTTATTACAGACAACTAAAATCATCTATATATGTAAATTTGAACACAATATAATATTTAGTCATAGAATCTAAGTTCAAACTAGTATTTTTTCAATTATTGACGTTAATTTAAAATATTTCAAAAATTCAGTTTGTTTTAGAAAATAGTCATTCATCCTTCCCACATAGATCCATAGGAATTAGGATAAACGTCGGAATAAGGTTATTTTAAAATAATAAATACTTTTGATTACTGAACACATTATATTGACTTATACATAGATTTTCTGTTGTATTTAAAATACTTATTAGCTCTGTTTCTATTTGAACAGCTAGTTAATTCATTTCCATATATCACACCATAAATAAATACAATTATTTGCGTCAAATAATGTGTTAAATATGTTTCGATGTCATAATTACAGACAATAAATACTTACGTCTGGCTACAACCATCGGCAACAACACACATGCTAACATCAAAAACTTGTTCATGATGATAATGATTGAACTGTTAATCGAAAAAATATATAAGAAATATGTATTACTCTATCTTATGTTTGTGTTACACTGTGCCTCTAAGATTTTGGAAGCCGGTCTTTTATACGAATTGATTACCGAATTATATGAGACAACAGTAATAAAAATACGATCGCTTCCCTGATTCATTCGGTTCAATTAACTGCGTCATACATAATATTTCTTCTTTCAAACTAGTTTCTAAGAATTATTAGCTCTTTAGTTATACATGTCAATTTGACCGGAACACAAGGCTATGTTATTGTCTGCACCAATTGTTTAGAACGAGTTGCAAAATAGACGCATACTGCACTGGCCAGGTGATGGCTGTAGAAATTGAAAAATAGCCACTAAATTAACAATAAATGTCATAATACTCATAATTGTTCCGAGCTGTTAAATTTGCACGCATAATATATTTTAATGGCAACATAAAATGACTATGATTTATTGTGGTGATTTGAATTATGTACTGTCAAATTAGAATAAATTATTTCAATATTGCTTAACTCAATAAATCAAAGTAATTGTTTTCAAATATAATTCAATGATCTTTTCATTCATATGGCAAATAATTCTAATCGTTTCGGGAAATTCTTTTGACATATTGTATAAACTTAAATATTTAGTGATATTAATTTATTTACTTCTCAAAAGATTTTCGCTACATAATTCTATTTCCTAATTTGATGTTTTTCCAAATTATTTAATTTGAAAATTTAGAAAAGTATGTGTGCGTATGTGGGCTAAAGTTTAACCTTTTGTCCACGTTTACTGAAACACGCCTAAACCGAGTTTTAAAAGCACCATTACTTCGAATATAGTTAACTAGTCACAACTTGGGTTCGACTTCATTGGACAACTGCTGCCATCTATTCAAAAAGCCATATAATATCATATTAATTACTGAATGTCCTAATACATAGTTTGTAATTGAATTTATAACAAAAAAATCGAGAAGGATTTGCATCGATTAGTTTACCAAGTTTAACAGTTGAGCCATTTTTGAGAATTTGCAGAAAATTTTAGTCCACAATTTTGAAAATTTGAAAATCTTTGGCAATGTATCAGTTGGGAATCGTTCTTATTAGTTTTTGGCGAAGATCGGACGAGCGGTTTCTTCGTAATTATTAGTTGAATTTTTTTACGATTTTGATGAAACCTTCTATGATGGCAGAGTTCATAGTGTTAATGAACATCCTAAAATATTCGTCTATGCTCAGAATATCGTGACGTATTAAAATTTCAAAATTTTATTTACTAAATTTCAAAAATTACCAGTACCAGTGTGGAAAATATTTTTATAGATTACTCAAAAGAAAGATATTCTTCATTGAAGAAATCTCGTTTTAGACAATAATTCTGTCATTTTACCGTTGTGTTGATTTGAATTTCATTGGATCTCAATACACAGTTTGGATTTACCTAATAACTGACAATACAAGATAATATAGTTTATTAACCTCGAACAACTCTATTAAATTTACATTTTATTTAAATTTTAATTTATCTGGACGTCTCTTAATTGATGTAATTCATTATTATCTGGTTTTATTATTAGTAACTTTAAACATGTACAACTAAACAAATGTCATAAACAAATTGTATAACATTATTTCATTTCTACGAAATATGTGTATTACATGTTTATATTGATATTTAATACACTATCAAAATCATTGCGACCTCTGAACTCCGATATCGCATAAACTGGCATAGAAATTTTATAATTTTTATCAAAAAGTCTATAATTATTTAAATATATCTATATATTAAGTATACATGTGTTTATATATTTATATATAAATATGTACGCTTTTATATTTGTGGGTTTTTATACATTTTATACACGAGTAAACGATATATATATATATATATATATATATATATATATATATATATATATTTATTTATTTGGGTTGTCCTTAATATGGACATTTTCTAATTTTCTTGCTCCTAGGGGCTCACATGCTTCCAAATTGATAATAAAAATCCTCTATAAGTTTTAGCTCTTAATATTGTCTTTTGGATAATGCGCAATTCAGTCAAAGTTTTGTATGGAAATAGCGTGGGGAAATTTTCAAAAATTTTAAAAATGTTTTTTATATAACTTAGCAAACAAATGAATGAGTTTTCTTCGACGCTCTACAAAATAAATTATAAAAAACCTGTTTTGTAGAGCTTCGAATTTTTAATAAAAGATGACACGAATTGACACTTTTAATATATATATATATATATATATATATATATATATATACTCGTGTTTAAAATATTTCAAAACTTATAAATATATATGTCTTATAACGATTTTAGTTTTACTATTATACTTACTTTTAACATAAGTTAAAAAATATTTGACTTCATTTAATGCGCATTTGGAAGATTTTGAAGTACATATAGTAAATCCGCAATGAAAATAAATAAAAAATCCTCTAATAAGAATATTACAAAAAACAGATTGATTGTATCTGCCGACCATCGTGAGCTTGAAGTGATTATATAACTTACATATACTCATGTAATTGTAATTGTAATTGTTCGAAGAATTGAATTCTGTGCAGACAAAATCACAACTATACCGACTACAAACCATTGTTGAAGGTGGCAATAGTTATGTAATAATAGCATAGGAAATTAACAGGTTATTTAGATGTTTTGTAAGTCGAGACGGCAGTAAAATCTTTTGATAACGCGATTCAATTGCCAATATAAGTCACTGCTTCGTGGTTTATATATTTATGGCATAAAAGTGTCTAACGACTTCTTTTAGGGTTTTTAGCAACTTTATTTTTGTAAACACTACTTAATCAGCCTTGTATAAATAATAAGCATTAAACCGTTTTAAAGAAGTTGATCGCCACGAAAATATCAGAAAGAAAGTCACATGGGTCATGGCAACTTTATTTGATAATCCAGTTAAAATATATTAAAGAAAAAAACGGATATTTGTACTTGGCATGGATTTCTACCAAATCGCAGATATATATATCTGACATGGCTCATTTAGAGCTTCTTAGCATCACACACATATGACACACACCAAAAAATATTTTGTTAATATTTTTAATATTGTTCACTGTCTTTACGTTGCTAAAACGTGAAAAAGTGTTAAAAAATCGTTAATGTAATAGCTTTACGTTTCAAGACCCCGGGTCTGTAGGAATATTTTAGGAAAATTATGTATACAGGTTTTTTGTATATTTTTAAATCCATGTCTTTTACTTGAAACTAACCACTTATCATTTATAAACACCATTGATATTAACAATATTAAAATATTGAACATTTTTACGTTACTGCGGCGCGCACAAATATTTTGGTGAACAAAATATTATGTGATAATAATGACTATGCACGTAATACCGAGAATGATTAAATACATAAATATATATCTTAATATAATTTTATTAAATACAAACATTATGTATACATATGTATGAAATGGACATTATCAAAATATTTTTATCAAACTTTACTACATAATTTTAAAATTACGTAGCGTGTATCTTCAGATACTTAGTTATCTAAAACGTGAAATGCGAATGTATTGTTTTTAATGGAACTGTTTAATCTTTTGCTTGGGTTTACAGACCAAACTCAAGTTCAAGCTAATTAATTTCCTGGTATTTATTTGTAAGCTTGTATCTGTTTAATTCCTAAATTTTATAATTCTAACAGCGTTTTGAACGTTCTGTTCGATATTTTCAATACCGATGGGCTCTTCTTTTCCACTGTCCTCGCTGCTGTGGTGGCGGCGCTCCATAGGCAGTCGCTGTGCTGGAAGCCATTCCTCCTTTACCCGTGCTGAAGGCGTTGGCGATAGCCGTAGCTGCGCCTGGGCCGCCGTAGCCTTTATTAAAAATTATTTAAAAAAGTATTCAGCTAACGAATTTACTTAATTAATTTTGTATTTGTCGACAGAATAAACAACATTCTATAAAATATTTAGCTCAAGTATAAGGTTGTTCGGAAAGTCACTCCGTTTTAGCACAACTATATTTTTTTGAACCGAACATCACACTAAAGCCCTATAATTTTTATATGATTTGAAAACTTATATTTTAAGGCTTGTGTGTAAGAAATTCTTATCGTTTACATGCAGTAGTTTTTGGATGGTGCCACTTTCAATACGGAAAGAATTAAGCAGCATTTTCGACATATTTTACTCTTTTGCTATAGAAAAGGTACTAAAACTGATTAAGTCAAAATGAAATTGATCGATATGTACGAGAATGGCGTGTTGATAGTACGAGAGTGCCAAAATTGGTTTGCTAAATTTCATTCCTGGTATTTTCAAGGTATGTTCAAGATGCGCCAAGTTCAAGAAGTACGGTTGAAGCTAATAAAGACGCGAGAAAAGCATTAGTTGATGTAAACCGACGAATAATAATACATGCGATCCCAGTTAGTAAAAATTGATAAAATTTAACAGTTCAATGTAATAAGGTTCTCATAGAAAGAAACCTGCGTCGTCGCACTGACGTCCGAGATATGCCTGAGAAGTCTAGAAAGTTATCAAGTTTTGAAGCGAATTGTCACGAGGAATTTCAAGTGGGATGTGAGGAATACAATACACGCATTTGTCCATGGAACAAAAAAAGAACCTGCTCAAAACAGCTTAAGTTTGCCAGAAAAAGGTGATGCAGTATGTTTGGTAAGATTTTAAAGAAATTGTTCATTTTTCACCTTTTCCAAGATAACATAACGGTTAATTCAGATGCTTTATGTCATCAGCTAGATAAACTAAATGATATACTTTAATAGAAAAGATCAGAATTAACCTACAAGCAAGATACAGTCCTGCATCAAGACGACGCAAGACCTCACATAAGTTTGGTCAATCGCCAAAAGCTTTTGTAGCTTGAATGCGACCCAATGACACATTTATCATGTTCTCTAGGCCTGCCATCATTGGACAATTATCTTTACCGGCCAATAAAAAAAATGTTAGGCGGTAAAACCTTTACCTCAAAGCATGCCAAAAAGCACGTTGATCAATTTTTTACCAATAACGACCAAAAAATTCATGTTTTCGGAATTATGCTGATACCAGAAATATGACAAAAGATCTTCGATCAAAACTGACATTACATAATTTATTAAAGGAATTGTTTATTTTACGAAAATTATGTTCAAAAATGTCTATAAAAAGGAAGTTACTTTCCGAACAACCCAATAAATAAACACTCACTCATACATATACACACACTTTTAAACATACACATGAAATCATTGTGCTAAATTTTGTAAATCAAAAGTTATCACTCCAATAAGTTATTCGCTAATTAATTCATGGTGATAATATAAATATATTAGTACATTAATAGATGCGTCAACATAAAAATCAAAGCTCTACAATTTGATAGATGTTGGAAATAAATTAGCAAACTACGCTAACTAACTTAAATTTACAATTAATATATTACATGATTGTATATGATTTAAACCTCCAATTATATTGAGTCTATTATGCGGTATTCAAAACTGAAATAATTTGATTTAAAAATTCACTTGTGTCAATGATTTCAAATACTGTACCTCACATTGCACACAAGATAAAAAGACGCTCAGATCAAATCTTGAATCTTTTATGAAATCTCGAACATTTGTTCTGTATTCAACCAACTGATTAGTTAAATTTGTAATATGTTTATAATTACATGTAATAATAATTTTAAATTGTGAAGTCGAATTCAAAATTATATACGGAATTAAGATAGCTATATTATTTATTAAGGCTAGGGGAAAAATAATCTGTGCAAATTTTAGTTAGTTTTTAATAACATCTATCTATAATCATTTACCTTTGTTAAAGTTCATGGGGAAAAATTGATAGTATCCACCTCCATTGCCGCCTTGACGTCTTGTCGGGTTTGCGACAGGATTCATCCAAGCCTCCTCTTCTTCGTTCTCATCTTCATCTTCTTCCTCAGTTAGTACAACAGGTTTCTTCTGCTTTTTGTCTTTACGTGGTGCTTTGGGTGGGTATGGGGCTGTTGTGGCTGGCTTGTGATGCACATTTGGACTGTAACCTGGAGTGGGTGCTACAACGGGTTTGACGGCTGTGGGTACAGGTTCTTCAATTTCAATATTTGGTCGGTTTGTAACGGGTTCCTGGTTTTCCGTGTTGTCCCAACCATGTTGTGCTTCTACGGCTATAAAGAAAAAATGTGTTGCTAAAGATTTTACGCTTATATAAAACTAGCAAACCCGACGAACTCCGTTTCGCCACCAGATGGTTTCGTGAGAAAGATGAAGAAATTTTTTGTTTGTTTTATATGTGAAAAGGAAAGATTTGATTTTATTATACAATAGTAATAAATTTATTTTGATTACAAAAATGAAGTCTTTTATTGAACTTCTCTAAGTGAATGAAAGGGAATCCGCAAATTATCCGTTTCATTGAAGTGCTGTTTGGTAAACCACATTTTTTGTTTTTTGATCTGACGTTAACACAAACAAAGCGGATGGTTTTCCAACTCGTGAACAGGCAACGTATAACTGCCCATGTGAAAAACAATGATTTTCTAAATAATCTATTTGAAATTTATCCCGCAAACACTAAGCGATTGGCATTGAGACTTGTTATTGCGAACGCAAAGCGAACTGGAAATTGCGATTGTTTGAAGTCAAACCGAAGACCAGTCGGAATCATTGGTATGTCACCAAATCGCCAGCAATTTTTGATTGAATGGTGAAATTCAGTGCGTGTACATCATTATTCTTTGCGGCAAGAATTGCTCTTTGACTTAACCAATCATAATTCTGAAATTGACTAATGTCATTACTCGAATTTTTAATTACGGTGCGTGAAGTGCGTGAAGTTCCAGCAGCTTGCATTAAGGCACGATGCCATGCACAACTAATTTTCTTAGCTATAAACCTTGCGGAGCCCGAGACCTTTCCAACGAATGCAAAATTGTCGAAATCGGTTTGTGCGTTCTGGAGTTTTATCGTCAGGAAGGAAAACCCGACTTGTTTTTATAAATTATTTAAAACAATTGTTGATTATTTTCATTACTCGAATTTTTAATTACGGTGCGTGAAGTTCCAGCAATTTGCATTAGGGCACGATGCCATGCACGATGCCAAAGAATGCAAAATTGTCTGAATCGGTTCGTGCGTTCTGGAGTTATTTCGTCAGGAAGGAAAACCCGATAACCTTTTAGTATTTCAAACTTAATTTAGGGAGAATCAAACTATTTCGTATATTTAATTTAAACTTGCCCCGCTGTATATCTTTCCTTGTTTCAGAAGATTGATGCTTATTTTTTAAATCTTTTGCGTAAACGACGGAAGCAAATTTTTAATTGTGTGTGCTATAATATTTAAGCTTATTTCCATCAATTAAAGCAAAGTCAATTCTTACACTTTCAATACAATAAAGCGAAGTCGATTAGTCGATTGCAATCTTTAACAAATTTTTTTTTGATTATATATTATTTATATGTATTGTGTAATAAAACTTTTATCGTTATTATTTCAACCTTAAAAGACGCGTTAAATGCACAAAGGCGAAAAATTAGATTTAGTCCATTCATTATAGTAAGTTCACTTTGGAATTCGAGATACCTAGCTGTAAGTCTGTAAATACTTGTATATTGACACCCTAAAGTTGTCTCACAACCTACATATGGTATTGACACCCTATCATATGTAGGTTTTTTGGCAACTTTAGGGTGTCAATATACAAGTATTTACAGACTTAGGGCTGGGTATCTCGAATTTCGAGATTTTACCTAATTTAAGCTTAAAGGGCTGGACTAACTGCTGTTTCAAATGGGATAAAATTGACGCATATTTCTTATAGCCATTATATCATTTCCTAAATAACCATATAACATTTTATACGAATTTTGCAATTGGCAAACAATGAACAGTTTCGGAGATTCAAAAATTATCAACCTGGTGGGTTTTGTTGTTCAGCTATTTCCTGGCACTGGGTGCATGGAACTCCGTAGGTTTCACTGGGCACTGCCGGCGGTGCTCCGTAAGTTGGGCTGGGCGCTGCAGATGGAACTCCATACGTTTCACTTGGTGCGGCTGGAGGGACTCCATAAGCTTCGCTTGGTGCTGCTGGCGGGACCCCATAGGTTTCGCTAGGTGCTGCTGGTGGGGCTCCATAAGCTGTGCCGGCGGATACGGCTCCACCAGAGGCAAACGTTTCCATAGCGGCGCCTGTATGATGGGTAGAAAAGCCAGCAGCATTCTGTACTTCTGGTGCGCCGTAATATCCACTGATCAACATTGTTCGATGCGGAGTCATCATCATATATGGATGTTGCATGTATACATAACCTTATGGAAAAATGACAAAAATAATACTTATTATAATATTATCCTGGATAGTTTTTGTAATGGCAACTAATACGACCACGACCAATAATTATTTTCGGGATCAGGATTTACCACAGATATATAATAATACCATAAATAGGTCTTCAGTTGAATTAAAATCATGAAAGTTTAGTGTGAGAGAATTTTCAATGTTTTTCATATTCCCGTTTTCAAGTTTATCGATTTGGGCCAATTTTATTTTTAAGTTGGTAGTTTCTTTACTGACTTCTGTGTAAAACTTCACGCCAATTGGTTTATTGGTGTAATAGTTACGCTTCTGTTTGCAAACAAAGAAAAGTAATTTCTTAAATTTTTATAATGTCTGAAATTATTCAACAAAGAAGTAGCATTTAATTTTGTGCGCAAAATGAAGTATTAGCCGTCGAAACGTTTAAAATGTGTAACAGAAAGTTAATGTCAAGAACAAGTGTTTTTGATTGGCACAAATTGCTCAAAGAAGATCTAAATTATTTAAAGCGATTGGTCATTTCAAATGCTGCTTAGATATACCAAATGTAGATTATAATACACTGATTTATTACGAGAAGAAAACTTCACCCAATGCTATGAATGATTTTTTATAGATATTGTACTACTGCTTTTGGTGAATTGTACTTCTTTTTTTCTAATCTCGTCCCGAAGAAAACGGAAGTAAATTTTACTTTCTAGGTGTTTGTCTTTTGACAGTTTAAACAAATATTTCAATTTTTCAAAATACTGAAATCCAGATAAATATTTTACTTCAGCTACAGTTTCTCGGCCTTTAAGTAACATGTCTGATATTGCTAAATTATTTTTCATTAAAGCTATTTTTTATAATCCGTAAAAGTTTTATGAGTAAGGAAGCAACGTACAGATGACGTAGATTTTTAACTCATCGAAAATCATTATAAACTTGGAGCATAGCATAACGAAATTTTCTGACTTCAAGCATATTAAATTCATAAATGTACAATGCAATAATAACCATTATAATTTTACACTTAAAAATATTACAGATATCAATATTATTCTTATCAAGTATGTTTAAATTAAGCAATTTGCTTAAAAATTTAAACAAATGGGTTTTATATTAGACTGTTTTTGTTCAAATTATTATTTATACCATAAATTAAAAAATATATGTATGATAAATAAAATAATAATAAAATAAACTTACTAGCTTCTCTTGGTACTACTCGACCGTTTACCGACAATATTCCACAAATCACACCAAACAGAAGTACAGCGGTCTTCATTTTAACAAATATAAAATTAAAAACTTTAAATTAAAAAATGGTTTTTCTTTAATTTTTTTATTGAATTTTAATAATAAATTTTTAATTTTTTATGATGAATTCTGGAGCTAAGTCACTTCTTTGTGACTTCCACCGAAAGAACATGATTTTGAGCCCCAATTGTTGATTATTTATATTATTCACCCCACCTGCTCAGCCACTGAGCCCGTTAAGTCGAAGTTTTGATTGAGACGCATCTTGGTTTTAAATTAGACCTGTGCGATCTTATTAATATTAGAGGTACGTCTCGAATTCGCTGTCATGACAAAAAACAAGGATATATTTTGTGAATTCATTATATTGCAATATACGATACACGGAGTTTTTGTAATAAATTACTAATAAATCACTGTTAAATTTAAATTTTTGTTTCTCACAACCAGATAAAATTATATTTAACAATCCTAAGTGAACCATTAGTAATAATTTGTATTTTTGGGAATGATAATTTGCATATAGTAGCGCATCCGCTGTTGGTTGCAAATATATACAATCATGCAATACATGTGTTAAGATTTAACTTTTATGAGTAATAAATATTTTCTAAGTAATAGTCGTACAATAAAATTCAGATAAATTTCTCGACTTTTATCTCTTTATAAATATTCATTTAACAAATATGGTGTTTATTTTATGTGTATTCTACGTATCAATTATATAAAAATATAAGGTTTTTTTGTATATATTATATATTCTACATCTAACATTTTCTATTTATGCTTTTATGTCTAGGTGGTTAGTGCGCCGTCAATCATTTGCATTATATTTGCATTGTTGTGCTTAAACCACTTTTTTGCAATACGGGCTAACCCCTAATTTCATTTATTTTACAATTGTGAGAAAACTACTTTTCTTCTCTTCGTTGCAGTATATTTTCTTATTTGCAACTTGTCGGTTATTTATATTTTTTATCATTTTGCAGTATCATATTTTAAAGCTAGTTTTTGGGCCTTATTATTTCAAAAAAGACATTTCTAATTTGAGGCTTATTTGAAAAAGAATACAAAGGAAATATAGGTTTTATGAAATGAAATCTGAAAATAATAGACGTAAGAGAATAATATAATGCACCATATAAAACTAGCACATAACTTTTTCCAAATGAACAGATTAATGCGTCGCCGGTTCGGAGACACACGAGCGCAAAGGGGTTGAATACGATAAAATTTAGATTTGAATCATTTCTAATAGAAAAGTATTAAATTTTTACCTATTTTTGCGCAAATTATATGTATGTCTTTACGACAGCCCTTCCACATATTTCAAAATTTTTGAAATTACTCATAGTTTTTTAAATAGTTTAGATATAAATTAATTGAATTTTTTACCAATTTTAAATTAATAATTGGATTGAACTTTTTTATGAGCTTGCTTTACAGTTTCGAGTATATTGCATACTTTGTTCATTACTGACTAGCAATATTCTTCATTCAGAATTTTATGTTGATATCAGAATTTAAATAAAATTTTAAACAAAATCGTGTTATTTTGAAAGAAACTTAAGACTAGTAAATTTCATCTAGTTGTCAATAACTTTAACAACTAGGCAATAATAGAATTTGAAAAACGTAAGTTTGGTTTAAGTGATTTTAGATATAGTCTTGTGAAAATTATCGCTCGTTTTTTTTGGCATAATTTTTACGTCATTTGTGGGTTGTATTACCATGTAAGTTTTGCTAATCTGTTTTTTTTATTGTATTGCAAACTGATTGCAAAATGCAGATGAGGGCAAAAATATATTGCAATATCTTTTATGGATGTTATAGAGTTATGAATTATGAAGACTTACATATAATTTCACTTTGCATGATCGGAAGTAATGAAACTACCAAACGAATTATCAATCGGAATGTATATTTATTATTTATTATCGAACTATGGGAATTGCATGTTAATCTTAATAATGAATGCCAATTAATGAATTCAGCGCGAATTCTCCAATGATAATAAACCAATCGCCGTGCGAAAATAAGAAAAGAATCCCATTGTTCTTATAATCAAAGCCGCATTATCAAAATTCGATAGAACACATTTATGACTCTCCGTAACAACTGTTGCATACATTTAAGTATTCGGTAATAAAGCGCGTGTTTTGAATACATACCCGAAATTTATGCAGACATAGACGCGTTTTCATGCAAATAACAACTTCAGAATTTTTAGATTTTTTTACTTTACAGATTTGTACCCCACAAAGATGATTCCGATCGGCCCGTGGGAACTCCTCACTTCAAAGCGAGTGCAACGAACTATTGCGAAAGATCTAAATTTATTTCGTGACGGTCAGGATTAAATTTAAGCTGATCCCCAGAGCATTAACATTGAAGGTAACATTTAAGTATTATTTCTTTAATTGATAATAAGAATTGGCGGGCTCTCGTATCAAAATTTTTTTGAGGGCCACCTCAGGTAGGGCAGAATTTTCTCACAAAAAATGTAATAAAACTTCATTTATCATCAATATTCATCTATCCCTTTTACAAAATTTATACAAACAATTCAAATTCAATACACACATTCAAAATTATTTATAGCTTGATAAAGTTTCTGCTTAAGCTAATGGTCTGAATGCTGTATCATCGAAGTATTTAACATCCCGAAGTTAAAGTTTAAGTTTTTGCCAGAAAATGTTTGGTGTTTCAACGATAGGCTGAGCCGATTCCTTGAAATTAGCAGAAGAGTGCTAAAATTTTCGCCTTCGTTTCAAAATCAAAATCTGTTTGGAATATATCGCCCGGATCGCTTTTTCGCAAATAGTCGTTAAACAAATAATTCACGATTTTGATAAAACTTTTCTATGATCATAATCATCACAGATACTAAAATATTATGAGTCTGCGATAAGTCATTAATTTTAAAAATTCATAAATATTTGTAATAAATCTGAATGCTTATGGATTGGGTCGATTGGGTCGACATATCGGAAAATACATGCAAAGTTCCTTAAGGCTTACAACTAGTTAGCTAATTTTTTATCAGTTTTATTTTTGAAAAACTTCTTTCAGCATTTGCGGTTGCAACTGGAAAAATTTTATGCAAAAATTACCTCGGAAAATTGTATGCAAAACTATTGAATTTTGTCAGCAATATATATAAATATTAAATTTTATATTTTAAATATGATTGTAGAGAGTTTACAATTGGTTATAAAAATTAACAGAGATGATCTTACTGCATTTTTTAGACGAAAGTTTCAGGGAGACAGGTGTTTTGCTAAATGACTCCAGTTGTAATATTTCGAACATACTAATCGAGTCAAAGTCTCTGAAATCTTTGTTTAGTTAATACAATAGTTACATATTTATTGATTATTTTGAGTTTGAAATAAGATCACGGGTCGATATATTTTGCCTTTTGTTTTTAAAAAGAGTCGTTACGCTCCATTCCTTTGCTAATTTTTCGAGACATTTAGCAAACGGCTAAATTAATTTTGATTTTTTAATTTGAATACTCTGTTCAAGAAATGAATCAACAAAATGCTAGCTTTCTATTCTACATATAGGGTAAAGCGGGGCTTAAAGATCCTTCATTCTTTCGACGTTGCTATCGGGAGATAAACGGCAATATTTGAACATTCATACCAAAAGTATTTTCTTTTGTTGTTAGTTTTTATTGTTGTGAGCACTGTTATTTAGCTTATGAGACCTTAATATTTTATCTTTACGTTGTTGAATTGTTTTATAAGATGTGTTTTTAATTTTTAAGTAAGATTCAAAAGCGTTTTATATAACCTCTATAAGAGCTTACACCTGGGTGGGGTGAAAGAAATAATTGAACCCTGACAAGGGTGTAAAAAATGAAAACTAGCAAATAAAAAAATAAATTAAGTTTAAAAAAGCTACTTTACAAAAGATGGATTTGTTGAATTGAAGTTATTCAAGTCTGCTGATGAATATTTTTGACGAAATACCACATCAAGAGATTATATACAGTGTTGTTATCTAAACAAAAATTGTGCATATAAAAATTATATTTTGCATTGGTGTAATATTGTAGAAAATTCGTAAAATTCTTTTGAAAACTAGTGGGGCGCATGGCATCGTGCCTTAAGGCAAATTGCTGGAACTTTCCGTACGAGAAATGAAAATAATCAATAATTGATTTGAATAATTTCAAATAGATAATTTACTATAAATACATACTCTAAACTTATAAGTGCCTTTGAAATTTGATTTTTTTTTTGATAATTTAGAAATGAATTTTTTCTATTTTCAAATGTATACACAATCTGTGTACAAAATCTCTATAAAATATCTGATAATATGATGAGCATATGTCTAATGAACATTTTTTCTACTATCTAATAGAAATCACGATACTATAAGTAACTCCAAAACCGACTTACTATTGGGGTAAAGATTTTATTGCCTAAAATTTTTTTTAGTAACGTCGTGCATCTTTGACATCAAAATGCCAGGAACGAAATTTATTAAACTAGTTATGATACTGTCGTACTATCAACAGGGTTTTTCCTTACGCATCGGCCAATGTAATTTTGGGTTAAACATCATTTTTACCTTCTCAATAGTAGAAGAGTAAAATATGTCGAAAATGCTACTTAATTCTTTTTGTATTTAAAGTGGCACCATATAAAAACTAGTGCGTATAATTGATTAGAGTTTTTCGCACACAAATCTAAATAAATAAGTTTTCAAATCATATAATAATTATAGGGCTTAAGTGTAATGTCAGGTTTAAAAAAATACTATTAAGTACTCTGTGGCAAAATAACGAAATTACTTTCCGAACTTTATATTTATATCTACTTGTGTGCAATATTGCATAAATACAAAATAAAGCTTTTGAAAATGAAATGCAGACTAAGGAAACCGATTTTAATAAGAATAATGGTCTTTTCTTACGTATTTTTACATAAAACCAAAAAAGACAACTTTTGTTTTTATAAATATTATTTATTATATATTATATAAATCACATCACATAATACTTCAGATTAAATTTGTGTACAGGTATCAGTAAAAAGTCACAACGTTCAGGTTACAGTTGCAAAAATAAATAAAACCGATTTGCTAAGGTTGATTCAAGTTTTTCATATCTCAAATGTTTTCAAAAATATGGTTAAATACATTAAATTGTTGTCTCCAAAAAATTATAAAAATATTTCGACCCAGTGTAATTTTTGTATAGCATTGTAATTTTTGGTAAAATATGTATTTCTAAATAGAATTATATGCCATATTAGTTTAATTTTAATAATATAATAATATTTTCCACCTTGATTGAAACAAACTTAAATACCATTAACAAAGAACCGATTATATTTTATCAATTACAAAATATTGAACAAACTATAATTACAATATTGAAAATTTTGATTGAAGAGTGGTGACATTTCAACCTATTTTGTTATTATCATGTCCTATATAAAAATACAATTGATATACAAATAGGTATAGTAATCGTATTTATAATTCCTTCTCTGGAAATGCTGATTCGTTGTTTAACTAAATTGAGTCGTTGTTCCGCGCCCTTTTGCTGATATCATCTTAAGTAAACGACGATCCCAGGCCTTGACTTTGCTCAAAGACATAACTGCCGAGGTGACTGTAATGAATGTTTATTTTATGAATTTAGGAAAAACAATATGGTTTAAAATACTCTACAGATGTATACATATTTTATCTTACTAAATAGTTATTATTAGACTCTATTGTTTAATAATTGATTTTTTGACTTTTTATTGGTTGTTTCTTTTATATATTATACACTACACTACTAATAAACCATTTTTGAATCAATTTTTTTCTCTAAAATTTGGGTTATTTTTTTACATTGAATGGCAATCAGAACAGTTACATTTTATAAGCCATTGGGCTATATTTTTTGATCCTCATTGGGTCGATCAAATATGGAGTGGTAGAAGATCTCCAGAGAGATACTTCTACTTTCTTATATGGTTATTCTAGGTTGGGGTTATTTGGACTAAAAATAATCATTGCTCATTTATTTAATATTATATGATTTAGCACGATTTTAACGTTTTATGTATTGACAAATTTTAAAGATTTTGTAACAATTATATTATCTAAGATCTTAAGCTCTAATGGGCAAGTAAGTGAAAAGTGTTTTAAAGATGAAATATTGAAGCGCGAAGGTAACGGAACCCATAGAAATATAAACAAAATTTGTACTTATTATTGAAATCTCTATAAAATATCTGATAATTTGATGTCTATATGTCTAATGGTTATTTTCGACCGTCAAATGCCTTTTTTTAACTTTCCGTAGGGTAGGTTATAGTATTGGGCCAAAAATCGAAAATGAAAATTTTTGCATATCTTTACGTTTTAGAGGTTTCTGAACATTTTGGCATATCTCAGAAAATAGATGTGTTTGTGTGTATGCGTGTGCGTGTGTGTGTATGTGTGGAAACAATTTTTTGTCGACGATTTCGGGCGTGTGGATGAAACAATTTGTTTTTTTTTTAATTTCCAAAAAAAAATTTTTTTTTATTGTCGAAAATAATTCGGATTTTAATTTTAATTTTAGCTAAAGTTTTAAACATCACTTATATACTTCAAATAAATAATTTTAACTTTGCAATTCAGTTTATATAATTCTTCTAAAGATTAGACAATGTTTTCATACAAACATATATAAACGTCGTCGTCCAATTCATTAGCTCTTATAATTTGACTACAAAACACGAATAATAATAATATAATTACAGTATGTATTTATAATAATATATTTGAAGAGATTTAATATTCTTCGAATATTTTATTACAGAATGGGAGGTTCCAGCAATTTGCCTTAAGCCACGATGCCATTACACCACTAGTTTTTATTTTTTTATTGGATTTTCAAAACCGCTAGACCTGTCTTTCCAAAAATTCGATCAAACCGCACCCTTCTGCACCCTTTACCCGGTATTTCCGAAATGGCTAGACCTGCCTTTGCCAAAAAGTTGTTATAAGTAATAGTGTTTAAAGAATATCTATTGCAATGTAAATAAAAGTAAATTTTAAAATCTAAATCAATTTTATATGTAATATGGTAATAAAATTTTAAATAATAGTTACTTGAAATTATGCCTTAAGCACATCAATAACAATTTTAAATATAAATATATTATCGGAATTAAATAGTTATTTGAAAACCTTACATGACTAATTTAATCGTTGTTGCATAAGATCTACAATCGCGGGTTAATTTATATGCTACGTTTGACCTATTTAATATTTAAATGTGTCTAATATGCGTTGAATAAAATTGTATATCCTAAATTAATAAATAAAATTAAGGTCGTTTGTTCTTGAGTCTGGTTTGATCATTAATTGTGTATAAAGAATTCCACTATTTCCATATTTGCGCAATCTGTTTTCAAAATTTCAAGTGTATTGAATGAACTGATTTGACGGTCAACTGAGATCGATAACAGTTGAATGTCATTATGATGTAAAAGGGTTTTTTTCTTCATCACGTGCATGGCAATATTGACAATTTATATTTATTTACGGAACCGCGATGTATGTATTTGAGCCAAGGTCTTAGGAGCTGACCTTTAGCTCGCGCAAAAAACATTTTATCAATGTAAACGATTTTATATATTATTGAAACTAAATTACACCTGAGTACTTTGAAACTATGCAAACAGTATTACTTCTAAATTAATTGCAGCGAGATGTGGATGATTTAACTTTTAAAATATTGAAATAATACCATGCGATACTATTCATGCACAAAGTAAACTAAAACTTAAAATTCAATGTGTTTTACTGTGAAAAATGTAGAGTTAACTGAAATAAATTAATGAAGAAATGCTTCATTTTTTTAAATACTGACAATAAGTATCTTTCAAGACGATATCGCATAATTATTCCGGTGTTTTTAATATCAAAATACCAAATACTGCTTTTACTTTTGAATAACTTTTTACTAAACTTTGTAATTCCTGGAGGGTTTTAAATTATCTAGATGAAACGGTAAAGTTAAGAGTAAACAACATTTCATCATATATCGTTTAAACTATCGATTATTTACCCGCCAACTAAATAAAGTCTAATGTGTTGATTATAATGTATTAGAATACCATAAGATGAAAAAAAAGTTGAAAAATATAAGTGATAATCTAATATAGATTTTGTGCTTTTTTAACTTGCTGTACGGTAAGTTATAGTAATCATCATAAATCGAAAATGAAAATTTTTGCATATCCTTGTTTTACAGGTTTCTAAACATTTTGGCATACCTTAGAAAAAAATTATTAATTAGTATGTTTTTTTTAAATTTTTTATCGACTATTTCGGGGGTACAGATTAACCGATTTGAATGGTTCAAAAAGCAACCGATTCCTGTTGGGGAGATGTGCTGGTTAGCTTTTTGCAAAGATCTGTCTAAGGCGTTTCGAAGATACAAACAAAAAGTAAACAAATAACAGTTATGGCGAGAACTGAGCATCCGATTCGATAGATTTTAACAATATTTTACTTGAATTGGCGAAGTGAAATGAAAGTTTGGTTTTAGAAGTAGATATAGAGGCCAATATAGCGTTGTTATGGTAATGCTATTTTACGCGCCTTTCTTTATATAAAATGATAGTAAAAATTGTCAAAGTGCTATGTATTTGCTGTGCGATCAGGCGTTTTACACATAAAAACTAACTTCATGGATGTGTTATCAATGTACATAAGAAGGATGCAGTTATTATAACATGCTTCTTTTGACGTTTGTGCGTTTTTTGGATAGTTTTTACATTTCAATCGTCTGACTACACAGCAAAAATATAGCATTTTGACAGTTTTTGTTACCATATTATAAGAAGCTGGTGGTGTATGGCAACGTGCCTTGAGGCAAATTGCTGGAACGTCCCGTACCATAATGAAATATTCGAAGAACGAAATTTATTTAAAACAATTTGTTTTTGGGAATTAAAGAAAAAATGAAACAAAAATTTTGTTTTCTCAAAAGCAATCGTTTCATCAACACCAACAGATAGTTTTCTGAATCATTCACATCGAATGCTTAGTTCTCTCAAAAACTGCCGTTTTTTTATTATTAAGCACCGTGTCTCCGAAACGGCTGGATCTGCCTTTGCAAAAAACTAGTCAGCACATCTCTCTATCAATAGGAATCTAATATTTTTGAACCATTTAAATCGGTTGATCCCTGCGCCCAAAAATCCCTGGATGAAAAATTGTATCCATACATACATACACAGACACGCGCGCGCACACATCCATTTTTTCTGAAGTATGCCAAAATGTTTAGAAACCTTCAAAACGTGAAGATCTGTGAATATTTTTAATTTCGATTTTTGGACGATAGCAATAACTTACCCTACGGGAAGTTAAAAATGAGCTTAACAAAGCCATAACAATTGCCATAACAATTTACCTTAATAGCTGCGATATCAAATATCCTGCAGAAAATATAAGCGAAAAATAAAATAAAGAAATGAAAAGAAATAAAATCGATGGATGATTATAAATGAAAACACAAAAATGTCTAATTCTAAGTCAATTTTTTACATTTATTTGGAAAATATGTTCACGAAAATATTAAAAAGCAAACTTTGATTGAAAATTACTTATTACTGAGTACAGTATTTAAATTAGTAACTTAAGTAACTAGTTGATAATTTAGTATTTACAAATCAAATCTGATTCACTTTGTGCTCAAACCACCGAAGCGACCAAAGAGGCAAATTTTTATGGATATTAATATCAACTTATGTGTATTGACACTGAATAGTAATTTTTTTCGAGCTTATTACAATTTCAAAACTCTGTGTTGATATATCACTTAGTGTGTCAAATAAAAGATAAGTTGTATTTAAATATTTAATCTGTTTCTACTAACATTGGCGCCTGATGCCGCTTGGTTCTTGCGGGTAGTGGCGGCGGCAATGCGACTCTCGGCGACGCGTCGATGTTCTCGCTGCGTTGACGCGTGCGGGATTGTCTTCCGCTGTTCTTCGGCCTAACCACCAACGAAGACTCCACCACCACTTCGTCAAATGGAGCTCCAAACGCCGCTTGAAATAATTTAAAAAAATCAGAATACATTTTAACCTTAGCGAATATAGTTATCTGAAAATCTCATAATAATGGATAGGTAGGCGAACTAGGGGGTAAGGGGCCTTTCAAGTATTAGGTAAGCACTATAGGGGGGCGGGAGGTTATTGATTTGCTTATTTTGTGACATTTTGTTTTTGCTGACAAAGAAGGATGGGGGGGGGGGGGGTAAATAATTGTACTAAATCTGTTTACGTAATACTTGAACGATCCCTAACTAGTAACAGGTGTTTTTCAATAGTTAACGATATTAAAATATTTTTTTGCCTCGATTGGACAAGCAAACCGTCCTGCATAATATTGTCATAGCTACTATCCTGCAGGCCGTCGTAATAAACAGAACTGTGCAGATCCGTCATTTTTGACATGAAATTTAATATAGATCTATTATACAATTTCAATTTGCGTTATTACTATCGACTATATTTTAAATTTTATATTTCTTATGGTGTTTTCAATTTATCATTTGTTGATAATGTGTAAAAATTTTTGTGATAGCTAAGTTGTTTCAATATTTATCTTGATTATTGTAAAAAAATCACACCTGGGGTTAGTTCAAACCAAACCTTGGGGCTAGTTGTAACATACAAGAATTGTATACAGATTCAAGTGAAGAAGATTGGATGGAATGTATAATTTGTAAGACGTGAGCAAATTGAAATTGTGTTACAGGAAACGTATGATAAAATTTTTTATTATAGGATGCATTATATATTTTATTTGTAGTAGATTTAGTTTGCTTTAATTTATAAAAAGAATTACTCAATTTTCTTAAAACCAAGTGAAGAATAAATCAGAGGTATTAATGTCGTTTTTTTATCGTTACTACTTGACTTGGCAGATGTTACAACTAGCCCGAAACACAGGGTGATTTGTAATACTGTTTCTAGATAATGATTAATTGTGGAGTAATAAATAAAAGTTGTGGAATTATTTTCACTCGATTTGGTAGAGAAATAGTTACAACAACTATTCATCTTTATTTTGTGGAAATATAATCAGTGGTTCTCAAGATGTATTAATTTAAAAAAAAAAAACTATTACAACCAGCCCCTAGCTCCCACACGCCATGTATTTGCTTTATATAACGTTTCTTAATTTTTTTACTAATTATTGATTGTTTTCGATGGTGATAGCTACAAGTTTTTATTATAATAAGATCAAATTAATTATTGTACGCAATAAGTTGTTTTATTTTTACATTTAAACATTATTAATTTTAACGATTTTTTATTATGAACTGGCTGCCACTTTAATTAGAAATATTATAGTTTCGTGCAGCGTATTTCAAACAAGTTCTACCCTAAAAAGATAAATGTAAATCTATTGTTTCTCGAATAAATTGTGCGTTATTATCAACGAATGTGTATGCCAATTTTTGCGAATTTGTTATAATACGTTCTGAATTTTTTATTCAAGAATTTCGTTCGGCTTTATCATATCTAGGCAGTATTAAGAATATTAATATCTTACCAGACAAAACACTGTGGTACAATCCAAAATATTTTTGAAATAATCCGCAAAATATTCGATTTTTGATAAAATGCTGAAAAAAACTTTAACAAACTGTAAGCAACGCTAGAAACTTAGTAGAATGGCAAAATTAGCTTTATATAATTTTTTACATGGATTTTGATTTTCACTGGTAAGTTATAAGTGTTTATTGTTTCAATTTATCATAAAGAAAAATTAAGGTTTTGTAAATTTTCATTTATTTTCTTTTTAAGACAGTTTTTTCATACTCTTTTAGATCACAATAATTTTGCTTTAGTTTTATAGTTTTTTCTGAAATACGACGAGTGTAACAAAACATTGACATTTTACAAAATTCACATTTTTAATGCTTTTTCATCAATTTTCAATTCAAGGAATTCACATATATTTTGCATAACTTTAATACAAAAAAGGCTAGTTGTGCAAAATATAGATACACTGCACTAAATATAATACACCTCTCAAATTTGAAAACTATGATATAAAAGTTTTAGCTTGTTAATGTTAAATCATTGTGATATTCACTTCTTTTACATAGTTGTACTATACTAGGTAAATTCTAATAAAGATTCAGGGAATAAAATGTTAGGATATGGCATAAACTTATGGTAATAAACACTTATTATTTGGATAAAATTACGCATATTTTCCTAATAAATAGTTTTTGTTTGTTAATTAAATAATGTTCAAATACTATTTAAATTAGATTATCATATTAGATTGTTCTACTCACGTTGTCCAGCTGGATTATACGACGTAAGTTGACAGTTGTTCACGCAAACCAAAGTAAGCAGAAATAACATAAAAAATACTATTTTAATCATTTTATAATACTATCAATAGCAACTTATGTTTTTATTTTTATGTGGACAGATAGATTGGATCAATATACAAATTACGCGTATAACTGTATACGTTGATTATTGTAGACTGATTCATTAATATGTGAGAAAGCTGATGTTATCGATCAGGCGGAACCAGTCTTGCGACTTATTTTGCGATAATAATCTCGTCTTATGTTTTATAACACTAGAGAGTGTTTCTGCATATGATCACATGCATTAATGATTCGTTAAACGTTCACTTTATAGAACTCGAGGAATTAGGTAGGAATAAAATACACTGCGTTAAAAACATGCATGTTGACCAGTGAATTGGATGAACATCGGTTATTAGTTGACTATTGAGTATTATCTTGGCAATGACATTATTAATTAATATTACGTAGTTTCGTAGTGCACCGGAGTCCATAGATTACAAAATTTATTTACAATTACTAATTAATATTTGTTAGTATTATTTCTCTATAAGGCATATAAGCTTGAAGTGGCACTTCGCATGAGGCAAGCAGAATAAACCTCCCGATATAACGTTTCGTAATCGACTTGAACTACACAAATTGCAATATTTAACTAGCTGTAAATGGAATTCTGTCTTAAGGCAATTAAGGCATCGTGCCTTAAGGCAAATTGCTGGAACTTCCCGTACCGCAATTAAAAATTAGAGTAATTAAAAATAATCAATAATAATCAATAAAAGTTGATCAATGATTTGAACCTTTTAATAGAATTTCGAACCATATTAAATTATCTTAAATCATTCTATCTTAAAACATTCATTTTGAAATATTTTGGAAATTCTGAACTTTTTTTCAAAGCAATCGTACTGCTTTAACTGCATAAAAACGAAATATCGAAGCGCGTAAGCGACGCGTCGCCGTCTATCGCGTAAACATTGGTACGGAACCCATAGAAATGTAAACAAAATTCATACTTATTGTTGAAATCTCTATAAAATATCTAATTATTTGATGTGCATATGCCTAATGTTTATTTTTGACCGCCAAATGACTCATTTTTTTACTTTTTCCTCCATATCTACGAAGTCGTTGCACCTGCCTTTTGACCAGTTCTTCACTCAGTTAATACAAATAAAATGTTTTTTCAATTATTCAAATCGGACGATCCGTTCTCTTAAAAACTGAGTTACCGTTTTTGGCATTTTTTGCCCCGTATCTTCGGAACGGCTAGACCTGCCTTTGCCAAAAACTAATCAGCACGTCTCCTTATCAATACGAATCGAATGTTTTTTGAATTATTCAAATCGCTTGTGTTCCCGAAATCGTCGACGAAAATTTGTATCCGCACATACATACACACACGCACACACACACATACATTCATTTTTTCTAAGGTATGCCAAAATGTTCAGAAGGTTTTAAAACGTAAAGATATATAAAAATTTTCATTTTTGATTTTTTGCGATTACTATAACTTGCCCTACGGGAAGTTAAAAAAATTGAAATTGTGACAAAAATTTGTTTACCAACTTTCACAATTCAAAACAATTTCCAGTTTCCAATTTTGATGACTTTAAATGAATTTTTAAATATAGATTAGTTCAATTATGACATGGCCGATATTTTAAAAAAATTTAAATACTCAAGAGCATTTTCTTAACATTTAGTTAATAAATGCTTTGCGTCTGTTTCAAAATTTTCTGGGAAAGCATAAGATTTTTCATTTACTTGTGATATACAACGAAAAGGCTGAACCGAGTGTAATGTGATACTAATCACCTATATTTTTATACCAGTAACTTTTAAATTTTTTCTATTTTCAAGTTCTGCGCCAAACGATTTAGAATGGCTAGAATAATTGGTGAAATGATTAATTCAAATATTTGATACAAAACATAATTTTCAGAAGTATGCCATAATCTATTAAGTCATGAACTTTGCCATCTTTCATGATCTTGTTTTATGTAAATGATCTTATTATATTAAAGTACATTTTTATTTATACAAAAATATTTATTGTCTTATACATAGGGTAATAAATAAATAATAAATAATTGTATTTTCTTCAGAACTCTGCGTCAATAACTGCAAAAAATATTTTTATATTAGCTTCATGGTGCATATAACATAATTTAGTGTATTTAAGTCAATGTATTATAAAATGTCGCATACTATGGTGGGCGTCCATATGGTCCTGGGTAACCGCCTGGCCTTTGATATCCTCCAGCATATCCTCCGTATCCGCCATAACCACCATATCCACCATACCCAGGTCTGTTGTAGCCACCAGGTCTGCCTGCATATCCTCCGTAACCAGGACGGGGGTAGTAGCCATTGTCATAACCTCCATATCCGCCATATCCTCCGTAGCCTGATAATTATTTTAAATATAATTATATACTACAAAATATTATTATTTCTATGTTTAAATATATATATGTATATATATATATATATATATATATATATATATATATATATATTAATTTGGAAATATGAACAAACGACACTCTTTTTTGCACTAATTTATTAAATAATAATTTTCACAAACGTTTAGAGACTAGGTTTGTCTCATCATCAGTGTGTTATAATTTAAAATTTAAAATATGGAAACCTAAATTAGCATTACGTGTTATTCGTTACAAGTCGCTCGATACACGTCTTCTGCCTTCTTCTTCTGCCACACCAACGATCGTCGAAGTCCGAATTCTCTAACCGACTCTCTAGCAACTTGTAACGAATAACACATAATGGTAATTTAGATTTCCATATTTTAAATTTTAAATTATAACACACTGATGATGAGACAAACCTAGTCTCGAAACGTTTGTGAAAATTATTATTTAATAAATTAGTGCAAAAAAGAGTGTTGTTTGTTTATATTTCCAAATTAATATCTATTAGCCACTCAGAATACATTTGTTATAAATATATATATATATATATATATATATATATATATATATTATATAATTTTTCGAACTAATTTATACAATAGTTTGTATGAATTTCATTCACCTGGTCTATAACCTCCGTGACCTCCAGAGGGATAACCATGTCCACCGTAACCTCCTGGATGACCGCCAGGTGGAACGTAAAGTCCATAACCACCCGGTCTGTTATGTGGATATCCACCTTGATATCCACCGTGAGCCGGATATCCACCACCATGAACAGGGTAACCGCCTCCGTGACCAGGATAACCACTTCCGTGACCGGGATATCCACCTCCGTATGGCGGATATGCGGGATATGGAGGATATGGAGGATAATATCCGCCGCCGTATCTTGGATCTAATAAACCGAAAGTCCGGGTGGGTCTAGCAGATTCCGTACCTTTAGACGATGTATCTTCAATTTCGGTTTGCAAATCTTTCTGTTGTGATTCGCGCTCAGCTAAGGTTTCTAGTTAAGTGAATGAGAAAACATTTACTATGGAAATATTCTGCATTTGAAACATTTTAAAATTATCTCGTTTTGATCCTTTCAAGAAGTAATTTTTAAATGACATATAAATTAAAACATCAGCAACGAAACAGATCCGCGTGTAAATATTTGTTGTGATATATCATCTATTTCGTGAAATTTTATAATTGCGTATTAACTTATTAGTTAAAAAGTCGGTATAATTTGTCGAATTCCTTTTTTCAATTGTTTAAAATAGACCGGACACTCTATTTAATACGTATTATTTAAGCGAGTATAAATCTTTTCACTTCAAAATACAAGTAAAAGGGGCACTGAGGGCACACAGATACAGGATCACGCACCAAGCCTCGCTTGTGACGCACACGGCCACGGCGAGAGCAACCCTTTCTTGTTTTAGGCGCAAAATCACGGCGTCACCTAAATGTCAATGGAAGTAATTCTAGCATATACATGCATTTACATTTGAGTGGTATGCAAAGATAAAAGTTGTACTTGATTGTTATCCGTAAAATAGTAGAATATCATTAGATCTTTTAACCAATTTTAGATATTTCTTGTGAGAATTTACGTAATTTATTCCAATTATTTAATTTTGTTCTATATGAGTGCTAACGGTTACTACATACCCCTATTCTCTATATTTCTTAGTCAAAGAATGAAAATCTTATGATGAATGCTCCAGCTGAGAGCATCGGTGTGGCCCAGCCAAAAGGGTAGATAAATAGTAATTTTTTTGCAATATCTAAGAATCTTTGTCAAAGACACATGTGCAGACATTCCAGAGTGTGGAGATGGCTACATATGTGATCAATGCAGGTTATTTTGAAATGTCCAGTACTAGGTGCCTCTGTTTAAAATCATATTTTTTGATACCAAAGTTTGATTGATAGTATTAATTATTTTTAGCAAAGATTGCGGTTTTGTTAATTTAGTTCGATTTCTAATTTTGTTATCTAACATAAATCATAGTTTAATCAACATTTCGTAAAATATTTATTTGATTTATTTATAAATAACCTTAGGTGTATGCCACCTGGAGACTTTTCCCTATTTATTCGTTATTAGTATATTCACCACTTGTCTTAAAGTTTTAGTGGACATGCAAATTATAAAATAGCAAAACTTCACACAATTCTGATTGATTTATGGGCTATGGAATCAGTTTTGTATTTTTAACATTAGTTCAAAATTTATCGCAAAAACAATAAAATATTTCATGATCTTCAAAGTTCAATAAGGGCTACGCTGAACATTATAATGTTGGCCATTACTATTAATTATATATATATATATATATATATATATATATATATATATGTATATATACTATTTATAGACGCTTACTAATTGTTATTAATATTGATTATAGAGAAATTATAGAGACAACACACGCCTGTCAGATAACAGGTTAATATTATATTGCATATACTTCATTCTTTAGAATAAGTTTAAATTTAATCAGTTTAACAATTATTGCTATAGCATGAAAAAACAGGTGAGGCGATCTTCACACAAAACTTATTGTGAACTTGCCGAGTTTTTAAGGGGGTATTCTACTGTAGAGTCATGAATTTCGCCCGGTTTTTGAAGCGCTGTATAAAGG